TATCCATTAATTACAGCGAATATCTTTAAAACTTAATAAGTTTCTTTTAGACTTGGAAGAAAGTAATGCATCTTTTATAATAAATTGTGTTCCTCAAGGCAATAATATATTAGCTCTTCAAGAGCCTTCAATTAATCTTGCACTACCAGATCTTGCATTTATGTTAGCTTCACACATTATCAAAGAAGAAACTTATTTTCTTTCTTTAAGTATAATGTGCGTTGTGGCCACTGTCTGTGAGACAAAGATCTTCATCATCAATCTTAGATCCAATCATAGACTTGGGAATGTCCATTTTCTTTATTGAAAAACAAAATACATAGTAAGATATATTACAAAGCTAACAAAACAAAGTAATTTATCTAAAATTGAAAATCACACTTAAACATATTAAAAGTAAAACACTCAACATAAATATATTAAAAGTACAACACTCACAAAAACATAACTTTAATAATTTTGGACATTTCCATCCCCAATTAAATGATCTATTTTCCCTTCAGCATTTTCAAAGAAATCTACAACATCTAGATGTGTTATATCAACAGGTACATGATCAAAATTATCACCTTGATAAGCAAAATTTGCTTTCATTTTGATAGGCAAAATTTGTTTTCATATTTCTCTCTTTTCCTTCCAACAATACTTGATAAAGTTCAACAAGATGTTTGGCGTACGGTAGGTACATGACCAATGTCCTTTCATGCCACATTGATAGCATAGATTTTCTGTATTCTTCGAATTTTTATGTTGTCCACTTTTGCCCTTTTCCTTTTTCTCTTCATCATTATTCCACTTTTGATGCCTTTTATAATCAGAAGAGTTATGGTTACAACCACCACCATTGTGATTATTACGACTTTGATCACGTCCACAGCCACGACCATGACCATGACCTTGCCCACGCCCCTAATTATCAGATATTGTCATATTCACTTTAGGGAATGGAGTAAAACCTGTTGGGCAAGCTTCGTGATTTTTCATTAATAGCTTGTTATTTTGTTTAGCCTCAAGAAGGCATGAAATTAGCTCAAAATATTTTTAAAAACCCTTCTCTCTATATTGCTGTTGCAGGAGCACATTTGATGCATGAAAAGTGGAGAATGTTTTCTGTAACATATCTTCATCAGTAGAGATGGCAATGGACCTAGTATTTTCGGGTACCCGGCCTAGCCTGTCCAGAAAAAGCTAGGCTTCACCTAATGTTAATGGGCTTGGGCTTGGGCCTGTGACTGATTTTAAGGCCTACCCTCGGGTATGGGCCGAGCATGAGTATGTCTTCATGCCCAGCCCGACCCGACATTTTATTATTAATTTTACTAAATTACCTTTATCCTATATATATATATATATTGAAATTTATTAATATTTGGTGAATATTCAAAAATAAATTAATATTTAAAAACTGTTTCTAGAATTAAAAGTATAAAAAAAATTGAAATTTATTAATATTTAAAAATTCACATTATAAAAATGGGCAGGCTTGGACCGGGATTAAGATTACAAAAAGCCCATCGGGCCGGGCTTGGCTTTACCCATCATTTCCATGAGGAGCTTGGGCCTTTGTCATGGGAGGGTCGGGCTTGGCCCCGAGCCAAGGGGTACCCGGCCTTGGCTCGACCCATTGCCATCTCTATCCATTTGTAATATTTTCTCCACACAATTTCAATTAAGAACTAATTCTAAATACTGTGGATTATATTCAATTACTTATTTGAGATCTTGTGAATGTAAATGCATCCAATCATAATAAGCTTTAGGAAGAATCATAGTCTTTTTATGGTGACACCTTTCCTTTTGAAGAAGTCCTAGAATTGAGAGGAAGGAAGTCGCAAACTTTCCAGTAAACCAAACAGAAAAAATAACAGAAAAACAGAGCAAAAAGAATCTACAATTTTTTTGAATTAAATTTTGGTAATTTCAATACAATGCACGTGAAGGAAGAGTGCCCTTTTTATACTAGTTCTAAACATAGCTGAAGCAAGTGGCAAGTGGCAAGTGGCAAGTGGCATTCTTAACACTGTACTCGTGAGTGCTATTGCAATGTACAGGGTGCTGAAGACTTGTCAATCTTAGCCACTCATCTTGATCTGAAATGTGATCATCTCTGATTGATGATGACTACAGTTCTGCAGTTTTGTTTCTGATTGTAACATCCTCCCTCAAGCTGAGCAACACAGGTTGCAAGAGCTTGTAATCAGAAGCAGAACTTTATAGTTTGAGGCAGATCAATTAGCTGCAATGCATCCAACACATTTGTCACCGTAACACCTTTAAATTTTCCCAAAGAGTAAGTGGATCTTTTAGTGTAAGGTATTTAGTTTTCAATTCGTGGAGATGATGTCGAAGGAAAATCATGGCTTTAACCTTATCTTGATTGGATGATTCATTTTCTTCTTTGATGGTGTCACCAAGAGCCATAACATCTAAATGAATTTTAGCATCAAGAATCCATAACAAATAATTCTTGCCTGTAATATCAGGGGCCACAAATTCAAGTTTCGTAATATTTGTCATGACAAAAACTATAAAAGAAATATTTAATAAATTAAGCAATCTCTAATAAAATGAAAATATTATCACAAATAAGAATTTAGAGTAATAATAATGAACATACAATTTATTACAGTTATAGAATTTAATCATTTGAAAACATAAATAATAAAAGCAAATATTTACAAATATATGTGTCTTTCTTTATTAATCAAATTATAAATCTATCACTATATAATGTTTTGTTTATAATGAAACCAAAACGTTCCAAATTAAAACAATTTCATATATTTTATACTATAAAAATGATTAAACATTCCAACATATTAATAAAACATATTGAGATACAAGCAAAATTGAATTTACTTGCTTGGTAAATGGAAAACTCCAACTCCAAATTTGATTAGGGACAAAAGCTTAAAACTTGATGAGAATCATTTTCCCTTGACAAGATGATATGGTCAGAGACTCATGCTGATAACGTGTTATAAAATAAACTAAAAGAAGAGAGAAGATAATTGAGGGGAAATAGAACCAATGTTTTATATTCCAAAGTTGAGTGTACATCATCTTTTACAATATATCTATTTATAGTCTCAAGATTATGAAATATTATAAATAAAATTAAAAGCTAATAAAATGCTTTGAAGTTTTAGAACTTGAAACATTCAAGAGTTAGAGAAGATGAAAGATTGAGAAGTTATAGAATTACAAGGGACATCCACATTTATTCATAAGCTTTATCAAGCTAATTCTTTGATTGAGCATTTTTTAGCCTTATTCAATTTCTTTGACAAAAATGGATATCAACAACTTTTTAATTTAGTCTCTCAATTAATATAGAAATATTTAACAAATATAATATGATGAATAATTTCCTAATACATATAATCACGTGCAAAAATGGGTACTATATATATAAAAGATCATAAACCACTTCTTGTCTGTTAAGTTAAAAACTATTGAGATACAATAACTATATGGGTGCATTTGGTTTGGGGTTGTATAAGATTACGGGGATAATTTTTGTTTAATTTTCAAGATTCATTTATTTGGTTTGGAAGTAATAAAATATTACGGGTATCTTTTGTTACAAATAGTGTTTACTATTAATAATATAAGAGACAATTAGATTACCCCTTAAGGGGTGTTATTAAAAAATTACCGAGGTAATATAATTTTTATACCCATTTTACCCTTAATTAAATATAATTTCGGTCACAATTACCTTTAAATGTCTATCAAATAACCATTGGCTTAAACCCTATACATTTGAGAATTTAGCTAAAACAACACAACCATAAAAAAATTTAAAAGTTAACAAAATACCTCCAATCACCGAAGACCACTGCAAGCCGGTGCATGAATGGTTGAATCTGACCGGTCATAAGCCAATATGTGGCCGTTTCACAACCACGTCTTTGGTCATGAAAGACTGTTTTGCATGAATGGTTGAATCTGACTGGTCGTAAGCCAATATGTGGCCGTTTCACAGCCACGTCTTTGGTCATGAAAGACTGTTTTACAACCACATCTTTGGCCATGAAATGACCATAGATCTTGCCGATCGTGTGCCATTATGCCGGCGGTGGTGGCTTGGGGTGGGTGGGGATGATTTTGCTATAAATTAAAGGTTTATATGACTGGGGTAATTTAGTGAAATTTCAAATGTAAGGGGTTAAAAGAAGTGATTCAAATAATAATATTATACTAATATTTTAAAAGGACGGTAATTTAATAATCTATATAACATATCTACCCATATATCCTCCCAATAAAAAATATTAATATAATATACCGGCTAATTTATTCCAACTAATCAAACATATTTTCTTAAACATTTTCAATAATATTCAAAGTAATCTATTTTCCTATTAATATAACATTTTCGATAACACATTCCCTGAATATATGGTGCATGTTTGATGTTAAACATCAGAGAGAAGAGTATTATATTATACAACTTATGATAGAAACTTTATATCATATTAGTTAATGCAATGTACACTTAATTAATGCATATTCATTATAATAATTAATTCCAAGTCATTATAGTTAAAAGATGTCCTATAATTTGACTTCCGAATTAGAGGTAGAAACTGTTAGGCAATTAACAATGAAAAGACGGGGAAATTACATGGAAGAAGTGGTTGATAGAGTATTACATTGAAAAGAGAATGGAAACTGTTGGGCAATTAACAATGTCGTGTATAGCAAGCATAGTCCATAGATAGTCAACCAAAGTATACATTTAGTAAAAAATCTCGTTGACAAATATGCTTTCTTTGACTCACAGAATGAAAAGATGGGGAAATTACATGGAAAAAGGGGTTGATAGAGTATTACAATGAAAAGAGAATGGAAACTGTTAGGCAATTAACAATACCAAGCATAGTCCATTGATAGTCAACCAAAGTATACATTTTGTAAAAAATCTCGTTGCCCAATTTGCTTTCTTTGACTCGCAGAATGAAAAGACTGGAAAATTACGTGGAAGAAGTGGTTGCTAGAGCATCACAATGAAAAGAGAATGGAAACTGTTTAGGAATACCCACAGTTGGTACAAACACTAAGCTTTCATGGGGTGTAAAAGAGATCTCTGTATCTCTGCACTGCTTCTGATATTCAATTTCTTCTATTTATTCAATGCAGCTGATATAATAACATCAGCTCAATTTATCTCTGATAGTCAAAACGAAAGCATTTTGTCATCTAACGGAAACTTCAGATTAGGATTCTTCAGCCCCGGCAAGTCTCGAAACCGTTATGTTGGAATATGGCCCAACAAAATCTCCAAACGGATGGTTGTTTGGGTAGCCAACAGAGAAACTCCAATTAGAAACTCCGAGGGCATCCTCAAGATAGCTGAAGATGGAAATCTTGCCATCTTTGGTCATAATAAGACCACTCCACTTTGGTCTACTAACGTTTCCATGCCAGAACGAAAATCAATGGCCAAGATCTTCGATTCGGGCAATCTTATTCTGGTAGCTGAAGACGAATGGAGTGACTCTGAAACCATTATATGGCAAAGCTTTGATTATCCTACTGACACGATTATACCTGGAATGAAATTCGGGATGAACAGAAAAACTGGCCTCATTCAAGCACTAACTTCTTGGAGGTCGACTGATGATCCGGCCCCTGGGGAATTCTCCTGTATGCTTGACCCTCTTGGTTCACCTCAGTTTTTCATATACCAGGGCTCGCTTCCACGGTATCGCTGTGGCCCTTGGAACGGTCGCAACCTGAATGGCCTGCCAGATGTAACGACGAGACTAAGAATGCTCAATGTTGATTATTCCAAACAGATTGATCTTATTAATTACACATTTGTAATGAATGATAATGAGATCTACGTTGAAATGTTGACAAAGAACGACAGCCCTTTCCCTGTAACTGTGCTGGAGCCAACGGGAGTAGCGAAGAGAATGATTTGGCATGAGAGCAAAAAATGGGCCAACTTCTGGATGGCACCTCTGGATTTGTGCGATGAGTACTCGCGATGTGGTGCAAATGCTATTTGCCATAATGAGAATACCATGACTCGTTGTGAGTGCTTGCCAGGGGTTTGTGCCACTGTATCCTCATGAATGGAGCTTAGAATGTGCCGAAAAGAGGAAGGTGGGTGAGTGTGGCAAGGGTTACGGAGAGGGGTTCGTGAGAGTAGAAAGATTGAAGCTACCTGATGCCAGGAATTCAAGGGTTTATTGTAATATGAGCTTAAAGGAGTGTGAGAAAAAGTGCTTGAAGAATTGTAACTGTACAGGGTATGCAAGTTCTAACGTTAATGAAGATGGGCGAGGATGTATGGCATGGTATGGTGAATTAAAAGATATGAGACAGTATAATGATGGTCAAGATTTTTACTTGAGGGTAGATGCAGTGGAGTTAGGTATGTATGAATTTATGGTTTATTCATCATTTTATTTCCATAGTCGCTCAGTTTTTTCCATTACAATACCCTGAATTATATGCTTCAAATTATATTTAATCTTAATTAGCTTTCAGTTGAAGTTTCAAAAGCGGCATGAAAAAATTTAGGCAAAATCTATTGGGCATTTAGAACCTTGAAAAAAGGCAAGTAGATTGCCTAAAATTAACCCAGAGCTTGCTTGAAATTCAAACTATGCTTACTTGTAGGATGGCTTTAAAGTACAAAATAGATTTGATCAACTATCAATTAACATGAAAATTGATCTGAAATTACTTGAATCTCTCTCATCACAATCAGAATTTTCAATTGCAGCTGCAAATGCTCGAAAAAACTCAAAAAAGTTTCTAGCAAACAAAAGTACGGTTGAATTTATTATTGTGCCTGTTGTCATGGAAATGCTTATTATAGCCGCATGCTTCTACTACTGGTGGACAAGGAAAGCCGGAAGGAAAGGTAATTTGAAGAACCACAATCAACTAAACATCTTTCTTAGTTTGGGATAAGCTTACAATAATCATCTCTCTTGTTCTTTCCACTTGATATCGCTACATGTTACCTCCTCAATTTGTTAAGTAAATTACATTATTTTACATACCACTATTAACTATTAGTCTGGTATTTGAATCCTGGAGTGGAAACATTAAACTTTTCCTTGAATGTTACGACTCTTAATGTTACGACTCTTTTTGCCACTCTTGGCAAGAAATAATGTTAGAAAAATGGAAGAATTACAACTAGGAATAATGATGAATATTTGCTTCTTTTTTTTTTTCCCCTTTTCCTTTTTCAGTATTTGTAATTACGTTATCATATAAGGCAGAAGAAGAAACAGAGGCGCGACAATTCGTTACTTCTGGAATCAGAAACAAGTTTGCCTAACCACAAGAACTCTGTTATTCCAAGTGCCAAGAGCCGTGGGGAAAGTGGGAACATAGAATTAACGTTGTTTGACGTAAAATCTATTGTAGCTGCCACGGATAATTTTTCCTCTGCAAGGAAGCTTGGACAAGGAGGCTTTGGTCCTGTTTACAAGGTACATTCTACAGTTAGATTTTTTGTCATTTGCAGTGATGTGTTTGTGTTTTGATAGGTTCTTCATTTGTGTTGATCTTAGTTGAGTTTTTCTGTGGCTTCCTTTAATAATAAGTTTAACTCCTTTTAGTCTTTTCCTCGAAAATGTTTTGACCACTTCCTCCATTGAGCGCATACAAACCAAATGACGTTCAAGTATACAATATAAAGCTTGAAATTTTGGTAGTCTGGTACTTTTTTTTCTGCATGTTAGCCTTTTGTGGCTAGATTTGAGATTTTTAGTCCACTGCACTAATTGCAGCGGGTATTTTATTAGCCTTACCAGCATGAACCATACGAACGATGAAGGGAAAGAGGGGCAGTAATATGCAATTTTGAGCAGAAATTTCAGTGGTGGTGGGTATTGATACAAGTATAACTTAAATTGGTTTTTCAATTGTCAGGGACAATTACCTGATGGACAGGAGATAGCTGTCAAAAGATTATTAAAGAATTCACATCAAGGAATTGAAGAATTCGAAAATGAGGTCTTATTGATTGGAAAACTTCAACACAGAAATCTTGTACGGCTCTTGGGTTATTGTGTAGAGGGAGATGAAAATATGTTAATCTATGAATTTATGCCTAACAAAAGCTTGGACTGCTTCATATTTGGTAAGAGTACTCTTTAGCAATGCAATTGATTTCAGTGTGTGGTATTGTGTCTATTCTAATATATGAAATAAAATTTGAATGAAAACAGATCAATCAAGAAAGATGTTTTTGGATTGGAAAACACGCTTTGATATAATTTTAGGAATTGCTCGAGGAATTCTTTATCTTCATGAGGATTCTAGGTTGAGAATTATTCACTGAGACTTAAAGACAAGTAATATACTTTTAGATGGAGAAATGAAACCTAGAATCTCAGACTTTGGGATTGCAAGACTATTAGGAGGGGATCAAACCCAAGCAAATACAAAGAGAGCGGTGGGAACATTGTAAGTTACCAAAAAATATATAGAAAATTAATTTTCTAGCAATATCTTTATAACTTAGTTCAATAACATTGTAGTATGCAGTGGTTACATGTCACCAGAGTATGCACTAGGCGGCTTTTTCTCAACTAAATCAGACATGTTTAGTTTTGGAGTTGTTTTATTAGAAATCATAAGTGGCAAGAAGAACAGGGGATTAATATTCCATGATGATCCATCCTCGAATTTGATTAGATATGTAAGTTGTCTATCTTTTTGTCTGTGTTCCAATTATTGAGATTGGCTTGAAAGAGCCTTTTAATTTTTATTCTCATGTCATGCCCTGAAATTAACACACAAGACATGGGAACTGTGGAGAGATGATAAGGCGCTAGAGATTGTAGAGTCGTGCATTGTTGATTCATGTCCAGTTCAAGAAGTCGTTCGATGCATTCAAGTGGGGCTCTTATGCGTGCAAGATGATGCAAGTGAAAGACCTACCATGTCTACTGCTATTTTCATTTTAACCAACGAAACTCAACTTCCTTCTCCAAAGCAATCTACATTTTCTTTCAGGAGAACGAAGACTGAACCAGATTCATCTATTAATGAGGTGACAATAACAACATTTAGTGCTCGATGAATCGGTAACATTTCATAAGGTGTTTCATTCCGAAAATTGTTCGAAATTGCGATCATTTGGAGTTATCAACTGTTCATTACAGTTCATATGGAACTTTCATGGCTGATACAAACTTCTCTGCATAACAAAGGAATCGCTCAAGTCTCGTCACCGTATCTAAACTATAAAACGTTAGGTGAAATAGCAAAATAAAGACGGTAGATGATTCTTATCCGAGTTTCAGTTGAATCATAGGTCTTGCTGTTTTTATCCCTTCTTTCTTTATTTTTGCAAATTTTTTTAATTTAATCAATAATTATCTTGTTTGTACGGCTGATTTTGAATATAACTACATGTATTTGCTTTTAGTTGATTTTTAATTTATTAGAAAATATGATTTGAATGCTTAAAGTTCGAGGAAACATAAAGCTAGAAAATCCAATTAAATCTCAAGAAGGTGAAAAAGAAAGAAATTGTAAGATATAGTAACGGAACAGCCAATAGTACAGTGTTTGCAATAAGATAAAAATGATTTAAAAAACTGCAGTAATATTAAAAGAGAAAGAGAGGAAAGTAAATCAAAGATGAAATCAGAAATCTTAATAAAATATACTATTAAAAAGTCTCTAACTTAACAGAGCAAATCCCTTATTTGTTGATTTAGTTGTAACTGAGTTTTAAATATTCCTTTATTTGACTTTGTATAAGTTGTTTATGCTATTACCTATAACCTAGGAGTTAGTTTTGCTCATTTAGTTTACACATTTAAATACCTTTGTATTCTATAAATACTCAATTACAGCAATAGAACAAATATAACATTATTTCTCCCAATCTCCTTCTACTGTTATGGTATCAGAGCATTAAGATTTTTTTTTTCTTCTCTTTTTTCTTTTAACTCGTCGCTATGACAGCCAAGACTACCAACAACTCCTCTACTACAACAATTTCCGATACCAATGATCCACACAATACTATGATCAACATTAACATTGTAGCTCAAGCCCCTCTCAAACTCACCACTAAGAATTATATCTCCTGGAAATTACAATTTCAGATGCTCTTCATCGAATACGACCTCCTTGGGTAAGTTGACGGATCAAAAGCATGCCCGACTACAACTATCACTCAAAATGAAGTTTTAATACAAAATCCAGTCCACATAATATGGATTCGGCAGGATCAACTCATTCTCAATGCAATGGTTGGTTCCCTTTCTCCTGCCACTATTTCCTTCATCGCTCGANAATCAAAGATGAAATCAGAAATTTTAATAAAATATACTATTAAAAAGTCTCTAACTTAACAGAGCAAATCCCTTATTTGTTGATTTAGTTGTAACTGAGTTTTAAATATTCCTTTATTTGACTTTGTATAAGTTGTTTATGCTATTACCTATAACCTAGGAGTTAGTTTTGCTCATTTAGTTTACACATTTAAATACCTTTGTATTCTATAAATACTCAATTACAGCAATAGAACAAATATAACATTATTTCTCCCAATCTCCTTCTACTGTTATGGTATCAGAGCATTAAGATTTTTTTTTTCTTCTCTTTTTTCTTTTAACTCGTCGCTATGACAGCCAAGACTACCAACAACTCCTCTACTACAACAATTTCCGATACCAATGATCCACACAATACTATGATCAACATTAACATTGTAGCTCAAGCCCCTCTCAAACTCACCACTAAGAATTATATCTCCTGGAAATTACAATTTCAGATGCTCTTCATCGAATACGACCTCCTTGGGTAAGTTGACGGATCAAAAGCATGCCCGACTACAACTATCACTCAAAATGAAGTTTTAATACAAAATCCAGTCCACATAATATGGATTCGGCAGGATCAACTCATTCTCAATGCAATGGTTGGTTCCCTTTCTCCTGCCACTATTTCCTTCATCGCTCGAGCCACAACTTCACAGGAAGCACGGACTACATTAGCCAATACTTATGCCAAGCCTTCTCGTGGATGAATTAAGCAGGTAAAAAGCCAACTAAAAAATCTCACAAAGGGCTCACAAATTAACTATTACTGAATTTCTACAGATAGTTAAAACCTGAGATGATAAACTCGCAATCCTTGGCGCACCACTTTATGATGAAGATCTAACCGAGACAAGACTTGATAAACTTGGTGATGATTACAAAAACCTTGTTCGTGCAACTCAGGCTAGAGATAATCCGATTGGATTTAATGAACGACATGAAAAAGCTACTGAGTTTCGAAGCATCTCTACAAGGAACCAAATCATATCCATCTTAGTTTTCTGCCTCTGCTAACCCAACAAATCAAACCTATAATAGTTCACGCTCACTAGGCAGCAATGGCGGGAAACTACCAACAAACAATGGTATCAACAACACCACCTAGCGCACATCGCCCACCTATGGTGCTCACCCTCTTACTTTAAACACTGTTGGAACCAATCTGGTGCTTGGCCTCCTCCATGGCCCTACCTTGGCTATTGTCAAATTTGCATAATCTAGGGACACACTGCCAGCATTCCTTCATTTCGCTTAGTCCCAGTTGAACAATTCAATAACACAAATACAACAGTAGTACCACCTTCACAATGGCAACCAAGAGCTCATTTCGCTTCCAACAATTCCAACACTCCAACGTGGCTTCTAGACAGTGGAACTTCTCACCATGTCACTTCTGCCTTGAGCAATCTTTCCCTTCACTCTCCTTACCCAGGTTCTGATGACATAATGATTGGAGATGGCACAAGTCTTCCTATCACTCATATAGTTTCACCTCTCTCAAAACTCCTACTGCTAAATTTCCTTAAATAATATTTTGTGTTTACCTAGCATGAAAAAAAAAAAAAAAAAAAGGAAACTTAATATTTATCTCTCAATTTTGCACTTCTAATTATGTTTCCATTGAATTCTCACCTTCTTCTTTTTTGGTGAAGGAACTTCACACAGGAACAACACTTTTGAAGGGTCCAACTAAAAATGGTGTGTATGAGTGGCCAATCTCCTCCTCATTATTTGCATTTTCTATTGTCAAGACCACTTCGTTTGAGTGGCATCACAAATTTAGACATCTAACATTTCCTATTTTGAAGAAAATAATTTCCAGATATCAATTGGATTTATCATCTTCTATTTTGTTTCATTTTTCATGTAATGCTTGCCATTGCAATAAAAGTGAAACTTTCGTTTTCTATCTCAACCCTTGTCTCTACTCAACCTTTTCAAATAATATTTTCTGATGTTTGGACTTCACCAATTCTTTCTCATGATGGCTTCAAATATTATGTGATTTTTATTGATCATTTTACCAAATATATTTGGTTTTATCCTCTCAAACAAAAGTCTGAAGTAAAAAAGGTGTTCATTCGATAATCAATTGTGGAAAAAACTAATCTCACCATCAACACACTCTATTCTCATAATGGTGGTGAATATATAGCTCTTGATAGTTTTCTTACTACTCATGGTATCTCTCATTTAACTACCCCCCTTCGCACACCTGAGCACAATGACTTTTTAGAGAGACGACATCTTCATATAGTTGAGACAAGACTTACTATACTTTCTCATGCTTCAATTCCTCTAATTTATCGGTCTCATGCTTTCACTACTGTAGTATAGCTAATTAATCGCATGCCAACTTTGACATTAAATTTCTTTTCTCTTAATGAAAAGATTTTTGGTGCCTCTCCAAATTATTTGAAACTCAAAGTATTTAGGTGTCTATGCTATCCTTGGCTTAGACCATATACTTCTCATAAACTCGATTCGTGTTCTAAACCATGTGTATTTCTTGGGTATTCTCTAACTCAAAGTGCCTACTTTTGTTATGATCCTACAACATCAAAAATTTATGTTTCTAGACATGTTAGGTTCATTGAGGCTATTTTTCCTTTTGCATCTTTATCATTTCGTCTCACGTCCAGAGTCCAATACCATCTCTACATGGGTTACACCAATAATAAGAGTCAACACCGCCACTTACTATTCATCACCACTCATACGACCATCTAACATGGATATTCAAAGGTATTCTCATTGTGAGGCTCTAACATGAACCATCACCCTCGAAATCATATCATCTAATTCTACACCCTCTACAAATAACCTTTCAAACCAACCAACACCATCAAATCAACCAACACCTTCAAACCAACTAACACAATCAAATCAACCGACACTCAATCCATTACCAAGGTGACCTTCCCATATCTTTTCCCAACCAACTCACTCAACGATCACCTAAGCCAAAGACAACATTCATGGACTTATCAAGAAGTTTAATCTTCATACCCAATTATCCAAAATCGTAACCCAAGCTCTCAAAGATCCAAAATGACGCTGGGCCATGTTAGGAGAATATAATGCTCTAGTTTAGAATGGGACATGGGAATCAATACCTTCTGATCTAAGTCATACTATTGTTGGTTGTAATTGGAATTTTAGAACCAAACATAACTCTGATGACTCCATTGACAGGTTTAACGTCCGCTTGGTTGCAAAAGGTTTTCATTAGTGCCCGAGAGTCGATTATCAAGAAACTTTCAGTCTCGTGGTTAAACCCACCACCGTTTGCCTAGTTTTAAGCCTAGCTGTGAGTAGCGGCTGGCCTCTTTGTCAACTTGATATCAATAATGCATTCTTGCAAGGTTACCACTCTAAGACTGTTTATATGGCTCAACCACAAGGCTTCATTGATCAAGATTATCCATCTCATGTTTGCAAACTCAGAAAAGCCACTATGGTCTCAAGCAAGCTCCTCAAGTCTGGTATCAAGAACTTCATACATTTCTCCTTAACTTTGGTTTTAAAAACTCTCATGCTGATACATATCTATTTGTTCTTAACTTGAATGGGCATCTACTCTATCTACTTGTTTATGTTGATGTAATAATTCTTTGGTGGATAGATTTGTTACTCTTTTAGCTTGTCGTTTCTCTTTACAGGATCTTAGTTTGTTGTCATATTTTTCTTGGTGTGGAGGTTGTCCCAAATAAACATGGTATTTTACTCTCTCCTTCTTAGTTGACTTGATATCGATTTTGCAGTTAATAAGCTTTTACAATTTATGCATAGACCTATAACTGAGCACTAGGCTCTTGTTAAATGATTACTTCATTATCTTTGTGGAACTTGGAACTATAAATGATGGTCTTTAGCTGTTTAAGGACACTGTTTTGTCCTTACAAGCTTTCTCTAATGCT